GTTATGTTTTTAGCACGTCCTAAGCTAAGAAATTTATTTCCTTATTTCCTTGTCAAATTGTGGCAGTTGTGTATATGAATATAGGGCACAGCAATACTTTCTCGCCAACCATTGGCCATTCCACAGAACAATTATTCAACATTCGCTAAGGTGTTGTAGGCAACGTGCAACACAAATAACTTTTTGCACTCAAATGAGAACAAAGGTGGAAAATACAAACCAAAACACTGCCTTTATATACATGAGTTTCGCAAAAAAGATAAATAAAATGCAACCAAAATTTTGTGAAGCCAGTCACCACCGTCAACACCATCCACCACAGCAGCTCCAATACAACACCAAACGCATCAACTTCGTTTGCTAGCATGGCGAAAATGTGCAGTGCTTTTTTTTGTGTAAACTCATTTAAAAGTCATTTGTGTATTCCTCAATGCTGCAGCATCCTAAGGATGTTGTTGCTGTAACAGCTGCTCCCGCAACAGCATCGTTAATGTCAGCAAGCGGCAATCAGCCATCGCTCATCGCTAAGACTGCAAGCTGGCAGTCTGGCTGTTTGCCCCCTTTGGACAGCAATCAAAAAGGGAACAGAATACTCACGATTGTGCGCCATTTAAGTGCAACAAATTGGCACTGACCGACTAACTTCGGCGGCAACAAACCTACATATATTTATGTATGCACATTTCTAACAGAGCTGGCGGCATGTTTGCCGCATATTAAGTTTGCTGTAGTGCTGACAAGCTGCTTACAATCGTAACAACAATCAATACAATCGTAGACACTTTCTTGTTGCGGATGAATGCCGGCCTCATCGTTTGTTGCAAGCATAATGAAATGACAACAACTTCTTAGCACAATGTGGCGCCTGACTCTGCGGGCATTGAAACTTATTTGGCTTTGTTATTTGTTCGTCTCTCAAGGGGGAGGACATACTACATACATGCACACATCGATACATACATACCTACCTATATATATGTACACTATACACATGGTACATATATACGTATTCACTGTTCCATATTGCAGGTTCGCGTCTTGAGTCTTTTGTTAATTTTGACTTGGCCACCCTTTTTACAAGGCTTTTCTTCATTAAGCAGTACGACGTTAATGAAATCATAATTTATGAGTTTTTTTCTTAGCTTATACGGGTAATACTTATTTCAAAGGGTATGTAAGAGTAACTATGTTGTATATATATATACTGGAGACTAATAAAATTAAATGTTTGTTTATTAGTCTTTGTACAAACGTCTAAATTAGTTGGTTGTTTCTTAACGCATTCAAACAACTGAATATAAAAACTCATACTTTCTCCTACTCCTCTGCTTAAGGAGATATAGCACAAAATTTAACCGCAAATATCGTAGACTTTATATTTTTCGAATCAAAATCTTGCTTTTTGGCCTCAGTGCCATCTGTCGGATAGTTGTTTGGCTAAAAAGAGGCTAATTAGTCTCAAAAACCAGCTTTGCTTCTTTTTTACCATGCATGCGTAACCATGCTTCAGCTTTCTGTGTGCATGCATCTAAGGGCAGTAAACGAGAAGTAGGAGAAGTCGGGAAATTTTTGTAAGTAAAATTTTTCTTTTTGATTTTTTTTATTATAGTATTTAAATATTTTTTTTGAGTAAAATTTTTCTTTTTGATTTTTTTATTATACTATTTTAATTATTTTTTCTATAATGTCAACTTTAAGTACCCAAATGGGCGTAATGGGCTACGAAAGCGTATGGACTCGTAGATCTTCTAACGCTCGAGTAATACGATAAATAGACACTGACATTTTATGAAATTGTATATTTTTAAAAGAGGAGAGGTGTATAAAAAAAAACAAAAACAATATTAAAGGTCAGAAATCACGAAAATCCCTTCAAAGAAATTGCAGGATTTTAAGCGACTAGCAGCTAGAGCAAATCTCATTTTTTCGTTTTCGTTCCCCAAATAAATGTTTTCCACCAATAATTTTAATTTTTTTTTATGGATATAAAAACTGTTAATTAATTCGCCTGAAATAACATGCATAATTTAATACAATTTGATCAAACTGCTGATAGCAAAAGAAAGTATTTCTCGTACTACCAAAACAAGCTAAACAATTTTTATAAAAAGTAAGTTTCTTGCGAGTTTTTGACCAAAATAAAAATGTGTTCAAGAATATTCTGCTTCCCCTACTAATTGACGTTTACGACCCATTTTTATTCAAATAAATAATGGTAGCCGCCTGACGTGCCATGTTAAGGCCAGCATGCAGCTCTCAAGAAAAGCAAAAACTCCATACAAAATGACGTACAAGAAATGGCTAAGAAATTTTCTTATGTCAAATTTCCTTAAGGCAGTACGCAGTTCTTAAGAAATTTGCTACATTTTCTACTACGTTTTTCTAAAGTTTTTGTGAGAAAAGAACAGGATGCAACCCTCTGTTGCAACAGAAATATATGCTCGTTCCATTACTTCTTGAGGAAAGAGTGAGGTAATAGGCAGATGTCAAAATTACTTGAACACACATACGAAGTAATGACAAGTTTTTCATGAACGTTTACTTGAGAGCTGCATACTGGCCTTTAAAGTTTAAACTTAAAAATATGCTGAGGCAGTTTTTGTGTTAACTAAGGAAAAACTGCTTCCAACTTATTAATGTACAGAGATAAAACTTTCTCAGCATATTCTATAATGCTCCTGGAAGATAGTTTATGGGGTAGCTTCTAAATTCAGAGTAAAAAAACCGCTTCCCTCAGCTGCCCGAAATTTGCAAGAACAAAAAGTGAAATCCCGATTTTTTGGTTTATTAATTTATTTTAAAAAGTGCATTTTTTTTTTGTTTTTGAATCAAAAAGTTTTATAATTATACATTTAAAACAATTAAAAATCAAATCCAAAGTGTTTAGCTTTTTGCAGGTACTCGTATCTAAACTATAAAAGTTTTATAATTTCACAATTCTTTGCCTTCGTTTGCCTTTCATCATAAAAAATCCATTTTTTTCGCCCTTAATCCTTACCGAACACGGCGCACAGTGTATCATTTCCATATTCTAGAAAAGATTAATTACATTATTTTATGTCGCTAAATTTCAAAACAACGTCAAGAATGTTTTTAGAAATGCCTGATAAAGACGAAACAATAACAACTAAAAATTTGAATCACAGTGTATGGCGGGACGGGGTTTGATTTGAAAAATTACTGAGCGCAATAATATTTAAACTTGTATATTTAAAACTGAATCTCAATGTTGAATTTGTCGGTGTTATATGATATATGCAACCATTGCTAAATTATCATTTTAGTCTTATTTATTTAGGTATGATCTTTTTAATGAATATACATTTTTGGGAATTTAATAAACTAGGACTGAGTATTTCATGTTAAAGTTAAACGATGTTGTCTTAGACTTATTTTTAGCAAATTATTATTTTTATTAGACCCGAAAACTCGTTATCCGCCACTGTTCGATAAAGTTTGTATATCAGCTTATTTGCCACTCCCCTTAGACTTTAAACAACACAATTTTAGCTGCTGGAAAGTGCAGGTTTTGATGAAATTTTCTTTTTTCTGGCCTACTGGGAATTTCATGTTCTTCGAGTAATTCATTTGCATTTTATCTCGGCTGAGACAAATTCTTGTATTTTTGCTTTGAATAGTGAAAGCCTGTTTCAATACATTTCCAGTGGTATCCCATTTTTGTAAATAGAGCAAGAAATATTGAACTTATAACGGAATTATTTTGACCCAACTTAACTTTTTATCGATATTTTCCACGCCCATAATTTAAAAAAATATATTTATTTTTAAGTCCATTTCTGTCAGTTTATAATTCCCTGTTGTAGAGAAATTCTAAGTATAAATTTTGGGCATTTTAGCCTTTGTAGTTAGTTAAATATTTCAGTTTTTGCATTTTTAAAAATTGCAGGTATATAATAGGGTGGCGTGACAGTAACTATAAATTACCAATTTTTTGTAAAAAGCTTCGCCGATCTTATAACGTACCTTGTGCAAAATTTCCTTAATCTATCTTCAATAGTTTTCGAATTACAGAATTAAAAGCAGCTAGATGGGTCAAATCTTACACTGTGCGGCGGCGGTAAGCAAAACATTAAACATAATAAATCTTTAAGCGGCCATGCACAGCAAAAATATAATACCGTCAATACACATATACATACATATGTACGGATGTAAGCACGAGCATATTGGTGTTTTGTGATGCATGCAAGCAGCATGAGGCATAAAGCATGCGGCATGCAACATGTAACAGCGTGAGCCATCGCATACCGATCGTAAAAGGCAGATAAATAACTTGCAATATTTCGGAGGTCATCCCCAAATGCCTGGCGGCTGTTACGCTGGCCGCGATGAGTTGTAGGTAGACGTAAAACGTTTTTGAGATTCTTTTTGGTGTTTTGTTGTTGTTTTCATTGTTACCTTTGTATTGCACGACAGAGGATATGCAGAACGAATGCAGCAAGTGCAAATTCGTAAGTTAATGCTACACAGAGTCGGCATAACTGAATACATCTTATCCTGGCTTACGGAGAGCGGAAGGGCGTAAGCAACATTCCGCGATTTGTTGCATGATTCGATTCGTTTGCTTGTTAATTTAGTTGCACGTTAAGATTAATTAATATTAAACTCACTTAAAGTCTGTAGACTGCAGCAAACTCGGACACTGCTCTGCCGCCAACTTTACTGGCGCTCTTGACGGTTGCGGCTGTTGTAGCATACTCGCTGTGTTGCACGCATAAAGACATCGCATAATCGATTTTGTAGCATCTAAGTGCACTCCGCACTACGCTGCCATTATTAGTGGGGACTTCCGCTTGCCTCTTGGTGGCTCAGCCAGTACATTTGTGGCTGAAATCTTTCCTCAAGTGTACAGTGACTAAGCCTTGGCCTTTAAACGAGTACGCGCAAAAAATAGCATAACTCTTTACGTGTAATAATTTTATGTCTTTTGCTTTATTTTTTAATATATTTCTTTTTTTTCGCTTTTACCATTCTTACAGATGCCGTCGCGGCTGGCGCGGTCCACTGTGCAACGAGTGTATGGTGTATCCTGGTTGCAAGCATGGTTCGTGTAATGGCAGCGCCTGGAAATGCGTGTGCGATACCAATTGGGGAGGCATACTCTGCGATCAAGGTGAGTAGAAGCTGATTGTTTGCACACATATCTGCACATATGTAAATATGTATGAAATGCATGAACATGTGTTGCATGTGTCTGCGCATGTGTTGCAAATTGCCACAGTTACCAGAAATAAGTACTACATATAGCCGAAACCAATGCAAGCCACTAGCCAGCAATGCATTTAACTTCATGAAAATCTATCTAAATTACACTTCGGCAGAAAGGCTGCAACACATGTTGCATGTGTTACTTGTACCGACGTGAAAGGCAACTTACAAGCCAACTGCGTGGCACTTTATTGGCAGAAATACATTTCAACTTGCCTTTGCTGCTGCTATTGTTGTTGTTCTTGTTGTTGACTGTTTAGCGATTTTCCATACAGTTTAATATATCGTTCAAGATGCCTGACGCGTCTGCTGCTTTCTTATGATTACATTTTACTTTTTTGCTTCTTTTTCACGCTTCGCTATTTTTGGTTTTGTTGCTGTAGATTTAAATTACTGTGGCACTCATGAACCCTGCATGCATGGCGGTACCTGTGAGAATACCGCACCTGATAAATATCGCTGCACTTGCGCCGAGGGTCTGTCCGGTGAACGTTGCGAAATCGTGGAGCATCCGTGTGCGACGCAGCCATGCAAAAACGGTGGAACCTGCACGCTCAAAGTGAGTAAAAAATGTAGATAACTTAAAGCGAACATACAAACTAACATACATAGATATGTCGTTATGCACGTAAATAAATATGCTAGTTGATGTGCTTGATTTGGATGTGCCTCATATGATTACTTGTTTGTATAGTTATTAAAGGATTATTATGATACTTCTTTATACATATGTATCTATGTATGCATGCATGTACATTAGTGTGGCCCAAAAACAGCAAAGTTGGAAATGTAATGCTCTTAACCGCTAGGATTGTTCAAAATTGGAAAAAACTATTCCCCTATCTTTTATTTTGAAATCAAAAAATATTTAGAGGTCGCTCAAAGCGCTCAAAGTGTTCCATGTATTTTTATATGGGGAAAATAGAATTTTTCGTAGAAATGGTATAAAATTCTTGAAAATCAATATTTTTCGATCGGAAAACTCTGTTTATCTTCAAGATACTTTCAATAATAATACTCAATTGTTTATTTACCTATTTTTAATACTAATGATTTTTTTATTGATCGCGCCAATGCATTTTTCGGGTTTTTGTGGGTTTTTCGTGGACTTATAAATTATAGTTGCGATGAAAAAATGGTTAAATAAGCAATTGGGTATTATTATCGAGAATCTGCTGCAGATAAACAGAGTTTTCTGGTAGAAAACTATTTATTTTTAACTCTTCTATACCATTTCTACGAAAAGTTGTTTTCCCCCCATATAAAATACATGGGAAACTTTAAGCGCTTTGAGCGACATCTAAATATTTTTTTATTTTAAAATAAAAAAGGAGGGATTTATTTTTTTGGGTACGAGGAAGAGAGAGCTTTAAAATTCCGACTTTACTTTCTTACACAAACTTTTGCACCACCCTAATGTAGATATTAACGTTGTTTGATATTTAAACATGTTTCGTACTTTTACATAGAACGTTTTGTAGTGTTTGTGTAAAAATATTTATAGATTTTGCTTAGAAAGATTCCGCTAGGTATACCCAAAGCCTCATACATAAGAAATGGAATAATTCTAGAATTTTATTGAGAGAGTTTTTCATTGCCGATTTAGCTCACACTGGTCTCTGCTTTCTTCAGCTGCTGACATTATTAGTGGAGAATACGATAATTCTTCAAAGCCATGTATATTTAACAACAGTGGCCAGAAGGCGTTTTATCTTACTCCCGTTCACCGTTCAGACCACTTTTTTGCTTCCTTCTCCAAGTAATAGCGACACGCCTTTTCTAGGAGTATCCTTGATCTTACACGGCTCTTAGACGATGTTTTCGATTTTTACGGAGCCATGTCGGAGCGACAAAAACATTTTACCTCTACAATGGACTGCGTTTTTTTTTTCATTTCTAAAGTGTACTTTGGACTAAATTCACATATTTGTCTTTACTTGAAACAGTCCCAGTCTGGAAAAAATTTGGTTGTTATGTATCTCATTTTCTGGTAGAATTTTCAGGCTCCATTCTGATTTGCTACCACCTCGAGCACCTTTTATGACTTTGTTATTTTTTTATTAAGAGGCAACTCGATTCCATTCTCTTCTATCGGAATTGCTCGTTCGATTTTTGCTGGCGTCGTGATTGTGTGCAGGTTGGCTCAGTTGAACCTTGACTGCGGCAAAGTCGTCTACACTCTATCGCCAGTCATTTCTACGTACTCGTTCCTCTTCTGCAGTAGTGCGAAGGGGTCGTGAGATGAAATTTCTCTGCTAATTTGTGAACGCATATTCATATGGTGAATAATTTTATTATAGAAGCAAGATAAAAAGGTGAGTGCCAATTCCTAGATTATCCGTTACAGCTTCTCAATCTTAATCTTTCCTAAAGCTGATTAAGCCAAGTTTTTAATAGCTTAGATTCGCATGTAAATCTTAGGTTCAGCCAGGTAGTGACCCAAGCCCATCTTAGTCCTCCTAGCTTAGAGAAAATATTCAAGGAGCGTAACTCGCAGGATTTCGGTGGAAAATTTTCAAACTCGTCGAAGCTTCTTCTGCTTGGACAAAAATATGAGGTGAAAGTTTGTCGAAGTATTCGAGTTATATGTACTTTCTTTTTTGGGTTTATATTGAGCGCTCCAATCAGATAACACGCGAAGAGCTGCAGCAACTTAATCACCTTCCTGTTATTTGATAAAAGCTCTTTCCTCACGAACGACCAGAATAGGGGAGAAAGAAGGCCTTTCAGAGGGCATCCTCTTATGGCTCTAATATTCACGGAAGTGTTGCCTTAGAAAGATGTTGCATAACGCTCACGAAGTATTGTATTGATGCATCCGACAGTAGAGAAATCTATGCTTCTTTGGAGCAAAGAGATCAGTAGGCCCCTTGATTGAGTAATCTCCTTAAAGTCGAGGACCCTTTCGATCTTACTAATCAGATACTGTAAGGCAGAATGTATTGATTTCAATTTGATATACGCAACCTGAATATTGCGAAAGGAAGTTGAGTATCTCAGTTTATCCTTAAGCTGTAGCAGCCCTTCGATGGTCTTCAAACTGAAGATGGTTAAATTCATGGGTCTGTATGATTTAGGTAAGTCTGGGTGCCGATTTCCCAATTTAGGAATAAATAAGCCTGATACCTCTCTCCAAGTGTCAGTATGTATGTATTCCCAAGAATAACTAGCCGTAAATAAACAGACCAGGGGATCGATGTTGTTGGATCGACAGGAGTAGAGGGATCTAATACGACCCGTAAAAGCTAAGCAATTACTTTTTCTTAAATTGCCATGCCTTTTACTTAAATATTTTTTAACAAATTGAGTAAAAGGTCTGAAATTTTAAGAAAGGGGATTGACATATGGCTCATACGGTGTTGAGTTATTGAGTGATTATTAATCAGGGACCGATAACGCGTCGCAGTTTTGATTTAGTTCTGCACAAACAAAATACTATAATGTCAAGAGCGTTCCCACAAAAGAGCCAAAGAGCAATTTGAACGGGAACAAAATGCGAACAAATCTGTAGGCAATATAATTTGTTCGACTACTGTACATAAGTTGACTATGATTACTAGGCCGTGCTCTCATAGCAGCACAATGCCAAAATGTTCAGGCAATAGCCTCATGCAATTATCAATTATATTATTTGTTGTTCGTTTGAAATATTTTCTTTTTATCAAAATTTTTCTTTTAATCAACACATGTTGAAATAAAATTTAAACTAAAAAAAATCTTGCCAGAACAACCGCCTCAAAAAAAAATCCTGTCTACGGCCCTTATGGCCACTACTCAAGTATTACAGTAGTATAGGCCTGACTACAGAAGTGTAAAGCCAATACGTAATACGGGGTGTTAATCCCCATGGGATTTCGAACGCTTGTTTGCGTAAGCTTCAATCTAATTTGAGTCCTAGATATTCAACATTCTCCTTCAAATTAATCTCCCAACCTTTGAAAATTAGCGGGGAGACTGTTGATGGTGTGGCACATTTTTTCCATATAAAAAAATTATCAAACATTTTATATGGAGAAAATGAGCGACACCTTCAACAAAAAAAATTGCCAACAATCAATGGTAAGTCCTAGCTAACTCAAACCTGCACATTGTTATACTTAAATTGAATGGCCTAACTTCATATTCCACTTTTTTCTTGAGAGCGTAAATAAAAAAGTGCAATATTTGAATGAAATTTTGCAGAATTTTCTTTAATTTTTCACAAGGTTTGGAACTCTGATTTTTGGGTTTTTGTTGTAGAATTAACCATATTTTTATAAAAAATTATCGCAAAAATAAAATATTTAACAACTAGTTGCCCGTATTCATTTAATAGCAGCAGCTGCAGTTACATAAATTTTGTTAATTTTTGTTTTCTAATTGTTTTTAATACTTCGAACTCTGATTTTTGGGTTTTTATTGTAGAATTAACCATATTTTTATAAAAAATTATCGAAAAATATAATATTTAAAAAATAGTTGCCCGTAATGTAAAAAATTCGCTGCACCTAAACTTTATTGACTGACTGTACATACATACTTACGTAAATATACACATTCCAAAATTCATTTATGAGCAGCAGCTGCAGCTACATAAATTTTGTTAATTTTTGTTTTCTATTTATTTTCAATTTCTGTCTGTATAAACAAATTTAGATATAAATTTCAAATCTTTTTCGTTTTTATATTGGCACAAGGTACTGGCTCATAGCTTGGATCATATATGAATCCTAAACGATTCATTTATGAGTAAACAATTTTTTGTTTTTGATGCTCACATTTCTGACCTATCTAGGACTCCTTTCGGACTCATATATTCTGAACGTTCAGAATATGTTTGCGGGGTATGTAAGGAAAACAAGTATTTCTATGAGAATTATATTTGAACGTTACGCTTGCATTCCAAATAAATTACTAAACTTTTCTGAAAATTTAGTCTAAGCAAGTCCCCTTCGACTCATGTGCCGATACGTGTGATCAATTGTCACAGTAGAAAAAAAATCGCTAACGGTAAGAAAGATTTATGCAAAAATTCGGCTTTTCCTATTTTTTTCTTAGGGTAATATCCTTATAAATCAATGAATGCCATAATGTAAGATGCTGATATATGTTTGTATGTATGTGTAATAGTAATATTTATTTCTAAGCTTTCAAGTTTATAACAATTTACTTCATGCACTTTACTCAATTGACCAGTTCTCAATAAAACCATTTTACATTCTTTTCATCTTTTTATACCATTTTATCGTTTTTAATAATTTTCTTTTCGCTGCCATTTCATGCTGCGCAATTTCATGGCTGAACTTTATTATGAAACAACAAAATTATGCGTCCCCGCTGTAATGCTATACACATCACACATTTGTTAAATTCACAACAATACAAACCACAACCACCAACCACCAACAAACAACCAACCATCGTCCAATGAATCGTACAGGAATCAACACTGCCTAATGTAACAACGTTGCCGACATATCGTTCGATGCGCGGCATGAGCTCAGCCATGGGTAAACCAGTTAGTCGACGCGATTCATTGCTAGGACTGGCAGGATTAAGCAGCACTGCGACGGCAACAACAACACCAACTGGTACAGGTGGCACGATGGACGGCCCAAGTGGCAGTGCGGGTGATGGCCGCGGAAATAGCACGAGCGCCGTGAATGCACTTGCTGCGGCGGCTAAATTGCTACCTAGCGGTGGTGGAGGGGTTGCTAATCCAGCGCTAGCCACATCCATGTTAATGCAACTACAACAGTATCACAACAGCGGCAGTGGTGGCATTGGCAGCGGTACTGGCACGAGCAATCTACTGCATTCGCATCATTCGATAGGCCATCGACTGCAACAGATACCACCAATTGGCGAATACACTTGTGCCTGTGCGCCCGGCTGGACGGGACCATCATGTGAAATCAGTAAGTACGAGTATGTATGTATATGTTAGCTGAACGGGTTGCCACGATCGCGATCTAGCCACTTTATTGGCGGCCAAGAGTTTGGAGCGTGCGCTTATCCAACATTGCATTGATTTATGTTTCATATATTTATTCGTGTGGTCGCGTTTTTGTTGTTGGACTGATTTTTTATATTTATTTTTGCTTTGCCACTAAAGCGAGTTATTTTCCTCGGATTAAATTGCATCTATTAGTCGCATTGACTTGAACGATCGAACTAGTGAGCGAGCGTTCGAGCGGGTAAGCTGCGGCTTTGGGGCTGGTAAGTGAAAAAAAAATATACAGAAAAATTTAGCACAAGAAAATGTAGACAGAACGCTGTCTGTGGTTTAAAATTAAATTAATGCAGAAAAATGGAATCAAATGAAAAGCGCGTAATTGCCTCCGAGCCAGCACATTCTGCAGTAAAAGCAGTGCAATGTACGTGACGCCTAAAAGCTGTGTCTCGAATATTTGAAACATGTGCGTCGCTTTAATTATGCTAAATTCGTACGATTTTGTAAGACCTTTGCTTGTATTAACTGTCTCGTTTTTATTATGTACTAGCATTCAAAAACATTTGAATTGTTAATATTTTGCAAATACGCGCGTCTTTATGCTAAACTGCCAAGCGCTTTGCTTTCCTTTCACTCTCTCAGCCAGGCTTTCGTGTCTTATACGTAATCGCCTCTAAACTGCAATGTTGCATGGCCCATCAACAACAACAACTATGTATTTTTTACAGTTCGAATAACACCTGCTAGCATAACTAATCACATACTAATGGCTTGCGCTGATTTCATTTCTCTCGTTATTTGCAAACGAAATTTTACTGCCTTTTCTCAGCCGAACAAAAGACTAAAGCAACAAACTTGCAATAGCCTCCGCGCAATATTGGGCATTTATACTTCGTGTCGCAAGTGAATGTAGTCTAAAATTTCAGATAATGTGTGGATTAAAGTAAGGAGCTGCATTAAGATCAGAAATTAAATGCACTCTATGCATGCATTTCGAATGCAAACAGGTGTTACTTATAGCTTGTGCACTTAAATGCTTTAAAGCACACATACAATCGACGCGTAAACGCACATACATGGGTAGCCTGCACATTTAATATATAAACATTGACATGCGTACTGCCACGTATGACTAATTGTCCATTTAATGTACGAGTGCAAGATGGTTCAGGCCGAACGCAAGCTAACTGTGTGACAATCGCACTTTAGCCTTTATCTTACCGCCGTTTTAGTGAGGCTGACTGCAAACAAACTTTGGGTTTCTTTTCAACATTCTAAATACTAAATAGAAGACTTGCTGCCCATTGTTCCAAGGAAATGCATCACTGGCATTCGCTGAAGATGCCACAAGCATGAAGTATGTTGACAAACATTGCGTGGAAATAGCAATGGCATAACAACGTTGGCAGCATCAAGATAAAACCGAACAAATTTTGTTCGTTTAAGATTTTTGTCGCATTGCAGAGTAACAGCTAAAGCGATGCTTAAAAGCTCATATGTATATACGTATGCACATACTTTGAGGTGTGATGTATTGCATGCATTGCTATTAGTTGAATGGAAGTATTCGTTATGAATAATTAATGAGACACTTTTGAGCTTACACGCACAGAAATTTTCTGCTGAATGAAGTGCCATGTTTTTGTGCAATTTCGTACTAAAAAAAAATAAATGTTTTTTTAAGTTTACACAAGAAAATCTACCAAAAAAAAGTTACACATTATCATATGTCTACTTACAAGCAGCTATGCTACAGCTAATGCAGGTGACGTTAAAATCATCATCTATGGCTCCCATGTCTCTCGCAAATCAGACACAGAAGGCCACAAGCGGCTGGGGAACGGAAGTGTTACCGAGATTAAGCGAAGTCTAAACAGACCTGGTAATATCCATTAGGAAATACAACATTCGATTTCAGCAGACTCAAATTAGCCATCCTACAACCAAGGCCAATCATACTGGACAGCAAATTTTGTAAAAAGATGTTGGCCTATACTCTAGGCATTTCCTATCAGATTAGCTATTCCCGGCTATTGATAGGCCAATACTATTCTACGTGATATTAGTGTGGTGGCCAGGGGCAGAAAAAATACTTGGTTTAAAAGACTAGAGGGTGTCCATTATCACTTAGTGATCATCATAACGTACAGCACCGCTAGCGGCACTCCACACAATATTACACATACCACCGACATAGCCTCTACAACTACTGCGACTTCAGGATCTATGGCCACAGTACAAACTGAGTTGAGGGGAAGACAAAAAATGTAGGAATTACAACTATCACAAGGAATGGGAGGCAAAAACGCACACTACTTGTGGAAGTTTAGCTACAGCGCCTACAATCATCAAACGACAAAGGTCCAAAGCGAATACTACAATTCGAAAGGCGACGGTAACGTTCTGGAACATACCTCAGATTCAGGAGCGAAAATTCATTGGTTGAGAATGCATCTGGCAAGGCTAAGACTTCTTATTGTATTTTTGGTATTGTGTGGTATTTGGTTATTAGCTGGTGACTTATGCAGTGCACGCAAGTGTGCAGAAATCGAGCCATCGCGGGTTCATTTCGGCATGACGAAGCGATTACTCTCCTATGATGTGACGCGTAATATCCGAAGTGCCTTAGATATTTTTCTATTTTAAAAAGAAAACATCTCAATGGAGAAAGTAATTTTTTATACTGCACACCCGGCAAACTTCGTCCTGCCCAAAATCATTTTTTTTTTTTTTATTGAAACATTTACGTCCGATATTTTCACCAACAATTCACGTTCACGACTTCCAATGGCAGTGGCACACATATCTCCTAAGGTTATGGTCTGTAGGAAAGTTTTTGAAATTCTCCAATGATCTAGCATTTCATAGTACGGTTGGTCGCACAACGAAATAAACTTGAAGACATTTTTCCTCTTCACTCTTTGGCTTCAACAATGATTCGGTTCGATGGTGAATCTTTCGTTGAATCTGTATAGTAGGGTTGGTGGCAATCTCAAAATAGATTAGTATCGCTATTCTACAGAAATCCCGCATACATAGACTTACTTCAGACTAAATAACTTAAATGTCTTATCAAATAGCGCAATGGTCCTGTGGTTAATCTAGCGGTGGTAACTTGAGATTGGCCACTGGATAAATCAACCCTAGGTTGTCCGAGAGAGACTTTAACGCATAGTAATATTGGCACACATCAATTTGTCCAATCGGAACACACGCTATTTAACATACTCTGTGGTGCAGCAGGCCCACGTAAACGGACATTCACGGCAATTTTTTGCCAGTTGTCTATTTTTAATAATAACTCAAATCCAGCGCCGTCTGGCTCCTCTTTTATGCACCGTCTCGAATGCGAGCTAAATTGGATCATAAATACCAGTAATAACTTGACTCCAGAGCCACTTGGGGTCCAGAGACCCACTCAACTACACACAAAAAATTCCGCTAAAATCAGTTCGGTTATTCAGGAGAGAGTTATAAATATATATATACATACAAAGATATGTAAAAATATACGTACGTTTGGAAGACACCGCGCACCTTTTTCAAAAAGCTCCAATTTTTCTCCAAGTGCATTGAACTGATTTCATATATCTCAATACCAAGTTCCAGTACTCTACTATGAATAGTTCCAGAGATATGTAGGACGAAAAATCCAGTTTATATGGGTGTTGCCACGCCCCCTCTGTCAATAACTATCAAATACGTTTAACGACCTATTCTCAAAATTATATCAAATTAACATCAAAAATTTCATAAAACTCGATCGAGCTGTTTCGAGGAAGTGCGACCACAAACACCGCGAGACCATAATTTTATAGAAGAAGTTTATTACAGAAACATCTATACTGAGTACTAGTTGGATTTAATGCAATTTTATGGAAAGCAATTTCAATCACAGAATCATCAATTTTTTCTCCTCGTGACTATGTAGATGCGCGTACTTTTGCAACACTCTCTGCAAAGTTCCAATTCTAACCGAACCTTGAACTCTTTTAAAAATTGTTTAGAAGCCACTCAACTCAAACACTCCCTGGTGAATAACAACCCAGCTAGCTGTGCTTACAAATATGCCGGCGAAGAATACAAACATTACCTTCACTGAATACTTTGATGAAATTAGAGGGGCTTTAAGAAATTCGGGAACTCACCTCAGCAGAGAAATAAAACTCTTTATAGAGAGAACTGGTAACAGCACTCTTTAATGAAATAGGGGTCCTGGAAAGAACTGAAAGAGTATTCATGCACGGCTATAATGAATCATGAACTTGCTAGCCGAGTTTAATTTGCCTTGCTGCTTACCACTGAGCACAAACTGAAGTATCCATACACAGATTGGTATAAAAAGACCCCGCCTATTCGGTTAAAATAAAAAATGGTGGTCTATATCTGCATTCCCTACCTTCAAAGTGCTGCAGCAGATGGCATTTAACCAGCTCATCTTCAAAAAATACTTCCACATCAGCTGCCTTTTCTAATCACATCATTCGAGGCATGTTACGAGTGGCGATCCCTGCCCCTATAATTACAATAAGCTGTGATCAGATACATCTCAAAGATACAGAGGAAACAACCAGACGCACTATAGTCATACCGACCCTTCAGCCACAAAAATTACCCTCATCAGTCGGGTGTTCTAAGCCATCCACAGTATTTCTGCGCAGAACTCCTTTCTAAGTTTTCCCTCGACTAAAAAAACGTGCATTATCTACCACAGGATGCCCTCCTAAACACAATTGCATTCACTCCAAGGAGGCTGACGTTGCCATAAACCAAACTGACTATAATATCCACCCTATGATAGCAAAGAATCGTATTCTTCATGGCAATGGCTACGCAGGCGACTTTTCCAACTTAAGAAAAGGACTAAACTGTTACAATAATTTCTCTAAAAGGAGGATATATTACTGTAACCATAAATTCTAATAGAACAGAAAAGACAATGATCTCCATCTAAGCCTGCTGGAATCTATAAGGAACTGTAGCATCAGATCCGAATTAGCAACATGTATCATCGTAATCTATGCCCTGCCCACCTGATGGAAGAAATCATAAATAGAGTTCACACCGGTCACGCTTATCACTGGCGTTACATAAACAACACCCACCGCAGCTCTGCAAGCACTTTAGACTTGTCTTCGCTGTCTACTCCCTTCAGCAAGACTCATTCCTGCAACCAATTTGAGAGATTTTAAGCTTGTTACCCATACAATCTCAAGACTATAAAATGAGGGACTGTGCTTGAGTTAAGTGTGCCTGCACCGTCCGTGGTTTAACTTCCTACGTAACTTTACGATATTTTCCCTGAAGAGAACCGACTGCGCCAATGAACGACCTCAGCCGCGAAAGGAAAGCCAGATTTGGTATACTGAGGGCTTCAATACAAACTACACCGGAGAAGCTGGGGTTCTGTAACTATACCACGTGCAGTATGCAAAAAATGGGACAGCCTATATACGGATATTCATTTTTTTTATAAGAGAGTTCCGTTTTCTTGTGATTTATGTATTTAACTCTAAAGTCGTGCGAATGTTACGTCCGACATTATAGAAACACCCATATGTATGCTAAAATCTGACAGAAGAATGTCGAATCTCTCTCTCTTAAAGCACACAAGGCCTCCTTAAAGCTTTGGGGGAGTAATTTTTCTTTTAATCTTGCAAACAAACAGTAACCGGAGCTATATTTGTTGGGTGCTGGTGGCATAGTGACAGAAGAGCACAGCAGATCATAGGCATAGGATCCGCCACAGCACTGCTATATATCTGTAACGAAATAATAGTTTCCTAGTATAAAACGCGCAGGTTGCGGTAACTGAGACATATCACTATTATGAGCTCGCTTTAAAGTTCTTGAAAGCTTCTTATAATACTCGTAAAAATGTAGTAGTCAAACGTCAATCGCGTCACATATTTAAAATGTTCTTTTTCTTGCCATCGGGCTTGACAGCTACTTCATTTTAAATAAAAATAAAAAAAATAATGAAAAAATACTTGAAAAAATTTGCACGCCAATTTTCTCTGTGTAGTACAACAAATGACACAAAAATGTAACATGCCGCTTACGACTAGCACGGCTGACTGGCTGATGTGTTTTTAAAAACGATTTGTACGAATTACAAGTGGACTCGCTTGAAGCGTTAAGCAAACGAAAACTTCTTGTACGTGCGCGTACACACACTTCTACACCAAGCCATTACATTTGTTTTTCTTTTCATTGAAAATAAAATACACCTGAACTTTTTTAACTTTGTGCACGTATAGGCACACATTCCCACATACATACATACATACATAGATTCAACAACGCAAACAACGCCAAACGTAAGCTTGTCTTTGTTCCTACTTCACACTTGGTCTCCACTAGTTTATTGCCTCTTCTTTACCACTTTACCACCTTAGCACAATTTCTTTAGAGGCATAAATTGTATGCACGGATGTGTGTGCATGTTAACAGAAAACTTTTTGTGTGCGCTTATGACAAATGAGAGGGTCTTGTCAAGAAGGTGTTAAAAGCATTTTTGCTTTATGGTGGAGTACATACTTACGATTTGTTGTTGCTTATAGTCAAAGTGTGCTTACTAGTACCATTTCATGAGTTTTTTTTATTATTCTTCTGAATTTGCTTAACTTTATTTGCACAAACTATGGGTATGTAGCTGTGTGCATGTGGACTTGAAGATTTCTCTGCTGCCCGCATAGCTGCGTGTGCTTTAAATATTTGCCTACGCAAGTGCTAGTGAAGCATTAAAAATTACAAATTTTTCTTCATTCATTTTCTTGTAAAACTGAAATGAGACTTTGACTTGCTGTTGTGGTCCATAAAGATTCTGTAAGTGGCATTCAATGAGTTTGTAAATACAAATATTTCTTTGACTTTTGTAGCGACACTGTAGCGTTAAAAAGTATGGCAAATAACGAAATTAAACATGACAAAAAGTTTACTATATACCAAAGATAAATATCAAATTTTCGTAACTATTGAAATTTTCAACGAAAGAAAAGTACTCGTGTGCGATTGCTAATTTATGCTCAAATACTAATGAGTAATTGTAAGGGCGTACAGACGGTGGACAAAGGTAAATTCTTCTGTTATTGACCTATTCATGTAATTTCGTGACATTCACGTGATGTGCCTTAAAAAATATCTCCGTAGAAAGTAGTTTTCAACATCAAAAATAAAAAAAGATGGTCTTGTTGTCATCCAATGCAAAATATTTAAGAGCCATACAAGGCACTAAACTTAACTGGAAGCTTAACTGAGAAATGCCTATAGCGGGCTTGTGTCATTTATTATACTTGGATCTTCTGTGGAAGCTGGAATTCGAAACCGAAACCTGTGATGTTTGCATACACCCCCGCCACAAAGCCAAATCCTTGCCTATGGCTTCCTAGTGTGGTGGGGTCCATTAGGCAAACAATAAAATATCAGCAGGCTAAGTACAAGCTACGAGAAGAATATTGAATAGTGATGCACATAACCGAGCAACCGGAACCGGACATCCGGGTTCTTTGGAGAACCAACCGGTCCGGTTCTTACAAGATCAGAAAAAAGGTTCTAACGAAACCGAAACTCGATTCCAAAAGACCCGAAAAACGGTTCCAGAAGCACCGGAAAATGGTCTCAGAGTAGCCGAAAAAATAAGCAAAAAGAGCTAAAAAAAATACCAGGCCCTAATGGGCTTGTGGCCGCCATATTCCTGGATAGTGTGTATCTCATTTCCCTCTGTTCCACTGTGGCCTGTGAACTGATAGTATATATATGGGTGCTACTGTGGATTGCAAGGGAGTCAAGTTTATCTATGCACTCGAAAACTATCGCCGAGAATGACAGTTATCTGATTGTTGTAGCTCACACTCTGACTGAGGGACTAGAGTTGGTAGAGATTTCTTAGCTCTGGTGCCATAGACTCCTGCCTTTACGCCCTCGTGAGTTTTCGAGGAGTTTGTGTGTCATTCTAGAATACTAATATGGAGACGCTTTTCTAAGATGGAGGCGCTTCATCCTGCTTTGCTATATACTTCCATTCTCAACTTCTTCTAAAATAGCATCGTCTTGGGTTGTTATTGTTGTAGCAGCACTACTAAGCTCCGCCAAAATCGATTCGTTCATCAATTATCGTCAAGCTCATCGAACGATTGGTCCAGGAAACGTGCTGTTTCGACGGAGTTGGATCAGACGGATAGGGGAATGCGTGGTCATATGAAGGGGGGCCTGGTGCCATGGGAGGAATATCCCAATAGGTAGGATAGGTAGAAGTTCAGACTACTGCAGTATCCAGACCGTAACTGGGCCAGAGTAGCACAAGTCTCTCGTGGCAGCTAAAGCTTATTGTTTCGGAGATTGTGCTCCTAAGACGGTATTCATGCGACGAGAGAACAGAAGGTGATGATGCACTCTCTAGGAATGCCGTTGATGGCTTATCTGTACGCCTTCGTGTACAGCAGTTCTTATATATATATATGAACTGCGTCCGTCTACTCGAAAATATGCCTTCTGACGCGCCAGGGCTCCTTCTCAAGGAAGAGCTTATTGGACTGATCGCGTGTATAGCACACTACTATAAACTGCTTGTTGGGTAGGATGTTGTACTCTCTTACTGGGAGTGGAGCTAACGGGAACTAGTATAAGCTCTTTCCTCTTCCAAAACCCCCTCCATCGTTTAGCCGCGCGCTCAATTGTTACGTCTAGAGGCTTCAGCTACTGAATTACCCCCTATGCTAACAGCGGGAGTGTGACCATATATTTCATAATGGCTGGAGTAGTTATTGAGGCCCAAACCTATGTTGCCATCCCAGTAGCGCCTACATGTTTTTTCATAGAAGTTTGATACCCACGAACAGTCGTTGATACTTCACTTCGCTGCTACTAAAATAATTAAAACTAGAACTAAGCATAAGAGCTCTTTGTCATTCCTTTCCTCCCCAATCTATTCCCCACAAACGCTAACTCGCTTTTGAAGCATTTTAAATATCGCATCGCGCACTTGAATGAATTCCTACAAAAATTTGCCTATCGCAAATCGAAATCGAAAGAGAATAGTATTCTTAATTGTGTAATACTACATAGAGTAAGAAATGTAAACACACGCCTACTTACTGTTACGAAGGTAAAAATCAAATAAAGATAGCACAAGGAGCCACAACACACTTCAATGACAGAAACAAAAAACTAGCGTAAATGCAAACATACGATTTCCAACAACAGATAAAAATGTCTCGCTGTGAAGATGCATAAGTACATGAAAGTACTTATGTGAACAAAATTAAACATATGTATGTAGATATGTATGTAGCGAGCACTTGATTTGCAGCTTCCTAGCTGACTACAGCAAAGATCTCATAGCTGCCACATCATTCAAGCATCACCCATGCGATCTGGTACATCTTAAAGGCATGCGCAACTTTACATTAAGTTACAAGAGCAATAACACACATGTATGTACTTACATACGTATTTAGTTGCAGTTGAAACACTAACGCCAATGTTTTATCTCTACTTCGAATCAAATGAACAATGCAATAGTTATACTAGAAAGAAATCTCAACTCATTCCTTCCTTTTGCTCTATACTCCGCTTCTTCTTCCTTTCCATCTCTCACCTCACAGATATCGACGAGTGTGCTGGCGGTCCCTGCGAACACGGTGGCACTTGCATCGATCTAATCGGCGGCTTTCGCTGTGAATGTCCTCCTGAGTGGACAGGCGATGTATGTCAAATTGATGTAAATGAATGCGAGATTCACTATACGACAACCAGCAGCAACAATGTCGGTGGAACGTTAGCCGATGCGATTTCATCAGCGACCTCTTCGGCGGCGTTGATTGCCGCCATAAGTGCTGCCTCATCGTCCACAGCTGCAACGGCAGCCGCCAAGGCAGCACTTCAATCGCAAGCAGCAGCTGCAGGTAATGCCACGGCCAATGGTGCGGGTGTACAAGCAGCGATGTCCAGCACCGTGGGTCCGTGCATAAATGCGCAACAATGCCTCAATCTGCCCGGTTCATTTTCTTGTATTTGCCTCGAGGGCTGGGGTGGACCAACGTGTGCGCAGAATCTTGACGATTGCGTGGGACAATGCAAAAACGGGGCGACCTGCATAGATTTGGTGAATGACTACCACTGCGCATGCGCAACTGGATTTACGGGTGAGTGGCGAATTAAATAAAATAGAGAAATCTTAATATTTATTAATGCATAAAACTGTATAAAACAAATGCAAAAATGATTTGAAAGTATAACAAACACTTGAAGTGATCAGAAAGCTGGTGTAGCGAGACAGTTAGTTGACTTCGCTTGCCTTTACGGCTTATTATGGCGATTTGGAATGCTTTCAATTTTTGCAAAAATATTTGATTTTGTTGCGAAAATGTTACTCATATTATGTATTGTCTTTACTTGTTTTAAGGTCGCGACTGTGAAACTGACATAGATGAATGCGCCAATTCACCGTGTCGCAATGGTGGCGAATGTGTGGACTTGATTGGAAAGTTTAAGTGTATCTGCCCGCTGGGTTACTCCGGTTCATTATGCGAGGTAAATATGAACATATATTTGCTACGCAATACTAACATACGATTTCAAAGAGAACAAAAAAAAATATATGAAATTTAAATTTAAATACTCAAGAGGTGAAGGTGCTTATCGATACCTGAGTGGAGATCGACCTATCTCAGCAACCAATTCGAAAATGGCCTATCGCGGAAAACTTTTCAAGAATACCTTACTTCAGATTTTGATTGAAAAAACGTCTTAACTCAGAATTTGGTTGAAGAACGCCATACCTCAGCTGCCGTTTCAAAAACGCCCCCTCTAAGCAAATTTTCAGTGTATTTTCGACTGATATAAAGCTTTTTTGAACCAAACTCTGAAATGGTGATTCCAATAAAATTCTGAAATAGCGCCTCTTCAATCAAATTCTGAAATAGGGTGTTTCCAATAAATTTCTGAAATAGCGCTTCTTCAATCAAATTCTGAAATAGGGCCTCTTCATTCAAATTCTAAAGTATGGCATTTTTGAAAAGTTTTCTGAGATAAGGCGTTTTCGAACTGGCTGCCGCGATAGGTCGATCTTCCACTCAGGTGACGATATATGCTTAACTGATGAATTAAGTGGAATTTTAATATGTGCAGCCCTGCTAAATACAGTTCAGAAATAAGGGTTTTATAAAACCCCCTTTGATTGATACCCATATTTACACAATTCATATAACTTATAAAATATTTTGAATTCAATTTTGTAAACAGTTGTGTATAAGTAAACTAAATTTTACATTTCTAGCAGGTGACAACGCTCTTCAAAATATTTTCAAGCTTTTTTCCGAAACCCCTTGATACCCATATAGTTGTACATATATTTCTCTTACTTAATATGATTTTTTAAGCAGGTGGCAACCCTCCTATAGTTCAGTTAAGAAACAAAGCTATTCAAAACCATTTCGATTGATACCCAGTTTATAATAATTGATTTATTTTTTTAATAATTTGAGTTTAGTTTTTTTAAAGGTGACAACTCTTTTCAAAAAAATAAAACCCATTTTACATCTACAGTCCAAGGCTTTTGATTTGATGCCTCATTTTGGAAAATCCATCGAACGGTGCGGATTTGATGGCATTGATTATTAAATAATTTCAATTTAAGTTTTTAACAGATGGCTACTCTTTTCGAAAAACTTAAACCAGTTTGCATATCTAAAGGTCAAGTGCTTTAATTTGACATCTCATTTCTGAAAATCAAGCAAACGGTGCAGATCTTTTATTCTGGAGAAAAAATCCCTTCACGAAAAATATATGTACATTCCCTTACCTAAAATGAGTTTTTAACCAGGTGGCAACCCTTTTAAGGTGAGGCAGCTCATTTCAGAAAATTAAGACGTTACAGCACGTCCAAGTCTTTTAATTTTACACCTCACTTTGGAAAATCGAACGAACCTTGCGAATATGATGGCATTGTTTATTAAATAATTTGATTTTAATTGTTCAACAGGTGGCAACTCTTTTCCAAAAAATAAGACAAGTTTGCACATCTACAGGCCAAGCGCTTTAATTTGACGCCCTAATTATGAAAATCAAGCGAACGATGCAGATCTTTTATGTTGAACCAAAAATGCGTACGAAAAAAGCTTGGCTTCTCCAAGCGGCGCGTCTATCTAGGTTAGGTTTCCCACACAAAAATATTTTCACTCAAATAAAACCTCTGTTTCTTGGCACGGAGCTGGGCTAGCATTATTGGAGTTGATGATGCTGGATTCTAAGTAAGATTCGTCCTACACTACTTTAAAGCTATAATGGCTAATAATGACGTGGGTTCCAACATTGATTACTTGCCACACTCACTAAGCTAGAATTGGTAATGTCATTGCATCCGCCAACAACATCGTGCTGCAAATTGTAGCGCTGCAATTCAGATGAGCAACACGTAATTATTTATTATTTATACTAGCATCAGATTTAAGGAAACAGAGCTTAAGTAAGGTATCCGGTCTAAGCCCCCCGTTTGGTTACGAACGGCACTGAGATGTCCTTTCAATAGCCATATTAGTTTTGTGGTAATATCAAAATTTAAACATGGCATCGTAGATGTAACTTCTCCTCATGCTGTCTAAGGTGACTCCAAAATCGGCACAAGGGTTCTTATTTCAAGTTTTTTCCAGGATTCGAAGAACTTGGAAAATCTCATTTATGGTGGATTCACGGGCCTGTAGCCACGCTTATAAGGCCAAATGCAAAGCCAAATGCAAAGCTTATTCCGCGCTTAATGGCGTAAATAACAGGATCTCCATTTTAGTGGATTGGGAAAAGCAAACTTATATTCCAAACTTCGGGCATGGACTGATCAAACTAAGTTCAGCTAACTAGCTTATGCATGCTCTCTGTCTGCTCTTTGAAGGCTTATTGCTGTTCTCCTATACATTGGTTTGGGTACTTCGCCGGCTAAAGTCCAATCTGAGTAGCTATTCAAAAGCGTTGAGAAGTGTACCCTCCTCATGTTGAATGCACTCTTAACGTCGGTCACAAAATTTCTATTCCGCATCACAGAAATAAATTTGAAAAAATCGAGAGAATCAAAAATTGTCTTTGTCACTGCCTGGAACTGGCTAGACTGAGGCGACGGTCTATAGTCTATGGACAAGGTAACTAGTTATCTTTCTGTATAAAGGGTCATAATCAAAATTAACAAAACAGACTCATTTTTCCCTGAGTGTGGCTCCATTCCATTAACATATTTGGGCAGCCACAATAACCTAACTTAACCTTAATCAGGGGCACCGAAAAGCTTTATGAATATTTCGATGCTGGTGGTGCTGGTTGGCTGGAGGTATACATTTTTCTGTTGTTGCCCAATTATGTCTTCTTTTCCACCAATCTCGTCAAAATTGCCGCCGCCTTTCCGCTCGTTAAAATATACATTACATATATTACAGTTATGCATTAAATATATAAATTTTACCTACAAAAACAAAACAATATATTCGCGAAACTAGTGGTCAAAAATAGTAAAACTACGTTGTTGGTTTTTCTCTCTGACGTTAGGATTTTTCTTGAAAGGACCTGGAAATTTTAAATTTGTGATTAATCCAAAAAAATTTTATAAAAAATTTAGGATAGCAATATGGTTATCATAAAAAGAGAAATTCCACTAGAAATTTGTGGCTATCTCATGTCAGCTATACTGTAGCAGACCCCATATTTTTTGCATCCATGCCCTGACCATCAAATTTCCTGTACTGCGGTGATGTCAGCCATGTATTTATTTATAGCATCCAATAGTTGGTTGGAAGCACCTTCTCTATACCATTTTCAGACATTTCAGTTGCGTATCCGTAAATCGTAGCCCTTGTTTCGTGCGCGGGTTCATCATCCATTTACTGTTTTTTTTTTTATTCTTCTTTTTATATTTATGTACCTTTTTTCCTATTTTTGTAGCTTTTCTGTAACATGTTATTTACCTATCAACACCTCATTCAAACAAAGCTACAAAAAATTAGTTTGGCTAGAAGCACCAAAGTCAGCATGACGCAGCTAAGGTCATACAAATTGCCGATGAAATTGGCACTCCATAACCTAATTGTTAGATAAAATATTTGAAACGCTCAAATGTAATTTATTTCCTGATTTGGTTTCTTTATGATTATGTTCAGTTGCGCATACAATACAATATTCTATGCTTTTCAATAAATTAAGCTTAATAAACGAGCCATTGACTTTATCAGAATTTCGGTATGTGTATTAGAATTGTTATGAATTGATGAAAAGAAGTGCCTCACTTGGAGAATTTTGAAAGAAATATGTATTCATGTCAGTCGTACCAACACTTTTACACACACAAATCAAACCAAATTTATATTTTCTAGCATAACAACGCGATCATAGCTTTTTCTCTTCAGTATGGTGCCCCAAAGCAAACAATATTTTAAACTAAGCGCTCCATTCTTGGCTGCTGCTCGGCCTATCGACATATCGAATGACACTGAAAATGTTTAATGTTCCTTTCAATGATTTTGTCTTGCGATGTTTTTTAAGTCATTTAAGTTTTCGTGTTGCGCTCCAACTCTGGGTCGACTAGGCGTTGCGGATCAATGGCTAGCATACGTAATTTTTTTTTTTAATTGCCACAGGTAGAGCACCGACGTCAATGGCACAGAAAGAGTAACAACGGTAGCTTCAACACCTTTATCGTCTCCTCGATAGATGTTGGTGCGAGTCTGCATATGTACATATGTACGTATCGCACACCAAAGTAGTGTGTCTGTCATTCGATGCTTTAATGCCTTTTAACACTAATCGCATTACGAGCAATCAATTGTGATGAGAATATAAAAATATTTGTAAAAGGTTCACGAACGTATACACATTCATATGTATGTGCATTAGGGTGATCCTTAAAAAAATCAAATGAACCAATTTTTTCAGTCTCATCCACTCAATCGGTACTAACACGATCACAGATATCACATATAAATTTTGGCCCCAATTGGAGTCGGTTAAGGCGTGTCGCAAAGGGGTCAGAGGCTAAAAGCCTATATGGAGACTCAAAAAAATTAAAAATATCTTTTTCATTTAACACCCAAAATCGATACTACTAAATTCGAAGATATCACACGTAAATTTTGGTCCGGATTGCAGTCGGTTAAGACGTTTTCATAGGGTAATCTGAAGTTTGTCGGGGTCAAAATTTATATGTGATATCTTGGACTTCGGTAGTATCGATTTTGGGTATGAGATGAAAAAAATATTAATTTTAATTTTTTGACTAGAGGAATCTGAACTTTACCCCCTGTGCGACACGCCTTAACCGTCTCCAATCGGGAGAAAAATTTATATGTGGTATCTTCGACTATAGTAGCATCGACGTAAAGGTTGAGTCTTAGGAAATTTGATATAAAAATATGCTTCCCATATTTAAGGACCACCCTAATGCACAAACATATGACTGTAGCGAAGCAAACCAAATAATCAACTTCAAAACAAACACGATGCCATGAAATATTTGTGGCAAGTTTTTTGGGATTTTCTCACGTGTTTGTTACCGGCAG